CCTCTCACCCCATCCCACCCACCCCTGCCCAGGTGGAGATGCCAGTTCTCAGCCTGTCCGCATCGCAGGGCGATGGCGAGGGCCAAAACGAGATGAACGCGTCCATGGATTTGCTGCGCAAGACGCTGGTGCGAACGCCTCGGCGCCTCGCACCTCGCGCGGGCCCAAGGTTGGCCCCCGGTGTCGGCAGCTGGCCCGCGGACTGCCTGCCTGCGTTGCACAGCACCCGGCCTGCACCAGGCGCATGCGGCGTCGCGCTCGCGTGGCGCCACTCCGACCTGGGCTCCTGCTGCATCACCCGGGGCTGCTGCTGTCCTGTCACCGCCCGCGCGATTCGCGCCCCAGGTTGCATTCCAGGACAAGGCGGACAACATCCGCGTGTTCTTCCCGGATCAAATGGAGCTGGTGGGTCCAGTGGTCTGGCACGGGGTTTATTCAAGCGGGCAGAGGGAGCTTTTTGGAGCGTCCCACCCAATTGGCACAGCAGAGCAGAGGAACAATTATACCAGCTCTGAAGATGGCAAGACGCGATAGCGAATCCGCCGCAAAGGAATGCAGCTCAGCGTTGGGCCGCTACGTCCCCGAAACAACTGCTGCATCCCCCCTCCACGACACGATGATGTGTCATTGCTACTAGCAGGCGGTTGCACGGTCGGGGCAGACCTCCGACCCCAACGCTGGGCGCGCCGCCTTGGACCCAAAGTTTGAAGGTGCGCGGGCTCCTGCGCAGCGGCTGCGGGCTCCGCCCCGCTTGGACCCAGGAGAGGCCGGGGAACGTTGCTTGAAGCGGGGATTAAGGGTAAGTCTTCAAATTGACAGACAGCAGGTGACACACAGCAGCCTGCGATGCGCTTGCCAGCTGCGGGTGTGGAGAGCAGAGCCGCCCCCTCTCATCAGCAGCGCTTGCCCAGCAGGAGCACCTGCCATCGCTTGCCAATCGCCGCACGGCCACCTCGAGGGTCCCTCCACCCATCGCATGTCCAAACCGCCGCAGACAACACGCGGTTCAAATTCGGTTACCTGACGAAGCAGAACGCCGCCTGGGCCGCCTTGGGCATCAACATTTTCGGCTCCAAGTTCACGCCCGTTGATCTGGTCAAAGGTAGGCGGGATGCAGTCAAACGTTGGTGTGGTGGCGAGAGCGCAGTTGCAGGCAGAGGCGGCTGTGCAGCCCGGCTGACCACATCCTGTTCATGTACAATGCATGCGGCGACACATTGCCGAATTTCATTTCTGCCACGACAGGCCCCATGACATATGCCCTCAACCCTGGCATGATTTCGGCCCCTCACCCACTGTGACGCCCCCCACAACCCCATCAGACACCGACGAAATGTTTGTCGTGGCTTACCCCTCCTTCAACCCGCGGGAGGAGCTGTCGGCCACCTACCAGCTCTACCAGGGGGCAGCAGAGCCCACCGGAAGGTGCAAAGCAGCGAATGTGTCTGTCAGCATCGAGTTGCCGCAGCATCAAGCAACCACTGGCATCAGGCCGTCAGACCGTGTCTTTGGAGCTGCTTAGATTGGTATATGGCTGCACTGCCACACATGGGCCCTCGAGTGCCTGGCGGGCAGCAACCCTTCCGTGTTGTACCACATCTCCAAATCTTCAACTCTTAGTCTTCCCCCTGCGCCACCCAGGGTCGGCACGACCTCTTTGCTCCCCCACCTCCATTTCTGGCCCGGGCTGCAACCCCACCTCTCAAAACCCGCATTCCACCTTTGTGCCATATATGATGTCTGTCAGTTGCCTGAAGCCCATTCCTCCAAACCAGTCTTCTCTCTCCTTCCCACGCACTTCAGGCCGCTGGTGGTGTTCAATGGGGAGCTGGACAGGATCCGCGGCGGTTACTACCCCTCGTTTGCATTTGGGGAGCTGTCCAAGCTATCTAAGGACTTCATACCCAAGGTGGTGTTGGTGTCTTGATGTGTGCAGGAGGGTGGGCCTGCGCTGAGCTCCCCTCTGCCGGTGCTCGCCCATGCACTCACGCATTCACTGCGCATGCATGCAGGCATTGCACACATTCGTGCGCATGCCAAGCGCATGACGCACGCACGTGTGCACACACAAACACACACACACACACTCTCTCTCTCTCTCTCTCTCTCTCTCTCTCTCTCTCTCTCTCTCCCTCACACACACACACACACATACACACACACACACACACACACACACACGCACACACACACAC